GCTGAGAGCAAAAAAGCAGCAAAATAAGCTAAAAAACAACATTAGCTAAGCTCTAATGGAGAACAGCAAATAAACAAAGCAACAAGTCCGACAAAAATATTAGCTGCAAACCAATTTAAGTGTAAAAAGTGCCAAAAGGTTTTGGACGAAACTTCAGCAAGTCAAATTATGGAATGGTACCAGTGTGAAAATTCAAATTACAAGGCTTGACTATGTCAAACATGCATATTAAAGCGATAAGTAAAAGGAGCTGAGTTTTATTAAACCAAAAAGTGCCGCACAAGTAAAAACTCAACTCAACCTATAGTACCTAAATGACTCAACATCATCACAAGAATATAAAAGTTTATTTTATTTGATTGATTTTTTAAATTGTTATTATTGATTGTTTTTTAATTGTTATTATTGATTGGTTTTTGTTTTTTTAATTTATTGTTGTCTTAATTACACTTATATTTGCGTATTTCATTCGACGCAGTTGCTAATAGTTTCAAAATGGGAAAAAAAATCTGGATTTACAGAACTGAGGTAGTAATGATCATATTATATAGATGGTTTTGAATCCCTTTGTTCCTAGAACCATAAAATATATCAAGCAACTAAAAAAAATCTTTTATCAGTAATTATGTCTTTTACCATTACCTATACTACTATACCTGGATATCCAAAATTTTGATCCACATTCTTTTGAAATAACTTTGCTAAGTTTTGCTTCTGACTCATTTGTTATATACTCTTTTACTTGTATGATCTAAGACATAAATTTTAGATAAAAAAAAAGGACTTTTAAAAAAAGCAGATTTTCTTTTATCTTATTTAGATTGCTTTTGATTAGCATCAAAGTTGAGATCTTTTATTCGAGATTAAGATAACAATTCTCAGTTTTACTAATTTAGAAGTTTTTTTCTCACTAATACTTGATTAAAAAATTATTATCATGTGGGTGATGTGGCAGAGTAAATAAAAATAATATACCATTTTCTTCTTTGTTTAAGCTAATTAAATTCGAGTCTATATTAGAACTAGATGCTTTTGCAAAACTTGTGTGCTTTTAGTCTCCTACAAAAGTTTTTAATTTAAAATAAGTTTTCTAATATTTTTTATTTATTGAGAAAATAAAACAAAGTTACTTTTAACTAATGAAAACTTATTCATAAACTTTGAACAAAAACATACTTTCGAACTAAATTTTCGACACTCAAACTATTAACTAGATTTTTACATAAATTAAATAATAGTTCACTTACTTGTATCTCTCTCAATTTTAGAAATATTTTCCTTTTCCAAATCAATTTTGTTTATAGCTATGCAACTGTTATTTGCATTAGTTATAGCAGATCCATTATCTTGATTAATTAGGTGTAGATATTTTCTTGAAAATGAAGAATATATAACAAAAAGCTAAAAACTTCTTTCGTTTTAAAATGCTGAAACCATTTTTTAATTATATTACTTTATTTACTATTTTAACATCATTTTATTATGTAAATTTAAGATATTTTAAACCATTTTACACACCTGTTGTATTTAGTTGTCACTCTGCTTATGGTAATTGGTATATATTTTTATTAATGTCTCCACTGTGCCCAAAATGATCAAATACTAATTGCTGTTCTGATTCAGGGAGACTAAGAGCACCAATTAAAGACCAAACTCTGCGGCGGTTTATTGTACCAGTTACTTTGTTTTTTTAAGTTTACTTTTTTACAAGAGGACATCAATGTATGCCATCCTGAAACATGATTATCGCTATTTTTTGTTGATGGAAACAAATAGTTATTTTTTTATCTAAGACGCCTGTCTCTTTTCGCACTACTTTTGAACTTAAAAACTCTAAGCCAGAAACTAAATCGGGAGGGATAAAATACAGTTTATTCCCTTTGCTTTCTTGAAATATAATTCTGTTCCCTACAGATATTTCTTTACGGTAAGTGTGTCTTGTTTCCTTTCCTAGCCATGTTCCTTCAATTGCCTCTGTCCATTGATTGAGAAAAAGCATTGCAGGTTCTCCTCCACGTCGCCCATTGTACATTGTTAATCGTGCACAAGCTGCATCCCTCGCATCAACAAAAACTAGGTTGGGATAACTTAACAAAAAACTATCTTTGGATGTTGTTTTAGCAATGTATTCATTTAAAAATCTCACAGCTTCTTCATCAGGTAAATTTGCTGGCTATCTAGAAGACTTATTGCGTTTCTGTAGAATTCGATATAAAGCACCACCAAAAATCTCTTGTTCAACCATAGAAAAAACAGATATAAAGTCTCTAACTATGTCTGCACTAATGTTAATACCATTGACAAGGTAATTGGCTTCTAATATTTTAGATGCTAGTTTTATCAGATTTTGCAATTGTATTTTGAAACCACATATTATTTCATTAGCATCCTTGGTTAACTCATCAATAGCTAAGCGTAAATAGCTCAGATTTTCTTTTTCAAACATCTTTGATGCATCATTAGCTGAATCTAATTCTTTCCTAAAAGCATTAAAAACTCTAGCAATATTGATCCCCTCACACACTTTTCAACTTCATATTTTTTTTCGGTTTTGCATTTTTGACCATTGTTAATGCGCGTTCTTATCATTAATATAACTGGGTCCAATTTTGCTATGTCTGATACCTCATCTTGTATCATTTTGTTTATAACTGAATTAAAGTCATCATCTAAACAATCAATTTTTAATAAGAAATCTACAGGTAGTATAGAAATGATTACTTGTCCATTTTCACGTCCACAAATAAGTTGATGACGAGGTTTGTAATTTTTTGAATAAAAACCCTTACATTTTACACAAACAACTAAATTGCTTATATCAGTCTTATCAGAACCTTTTCTTTCACGTATAAAAGTTGGACTTGACTTTTTTACTTCATTCATATTAAATTGAAATATACTTTTTTTTCGTAAGAGATCAAAAGCTTCACGCTGTTCTCTTTTAGGCAGAGAAATAGCCTTGACAACTTCTGGCTCTTTTCTGTGAACTAATTTTAAATACCGTGTTAGAACACTGTGCAATTTATTATCTTTGCAATACAGATAAGGCCTAGAAGTTTTAATTTTGCTTTATTTCTGTATGGGAACTTCTAATCTATTTAAAGTAATTTCATCATCATTCATCAAATTTTCATTTTCATCTAAAGTATCTTATATAGCATTATCTTCGTACACTACACCTTCATTGTCAGCTTCTTTATTAAAATTGTCAAAATAATCTTCAAAAAATTCTACATCCTCTATCTTGTTTATAAGGCTTTCAAATTAAGTTTGGAAAAAGAAAAAGAACCCTAAAAATTAAACCTTAAATTAAACTCTAATAAATGGCATGGAAATAATATAAAAAAACATACAACAATATGTAAAAAAAGAATAGAGTTAAAATCTCTTTATAAAATTGATTTAATACGCCTACAATACAATTAAATTAATACCACTTCAAAAATAATTAATAAGTTTACTTTATCCTCCTTGCAAGACTTATCTATAATTGCTTCTATAATTAAATGTAAAATAATCTTGAAATAAAACAACGTTAAGTAATAAACAATTTTTGAGTTCATTAAAAAAAAATTAAAACCCTCACTTTCATTAGAAGTACAAAAATTTAAAAGCATTGAATTTTTAATAACTTCCTCTACAAGGTGATCTTTCTCATCAGACATATTAACAATTTCTTTATCTTTATGCATAATGCTTATTTTGTTTTTTTGATAATCTACGACCTAATAAAAAATAACTACAACTAGCTATCAAAATGATATTTTTTTCTCTTTTTATCACAGAGAGGAAACTAAAATATTACTTTTGCATCAACAATATCAAAATCAACTGAATCCTCAGAATTTAGATTGTGAATTAATAATGAATTTTGATGCAGATTGAGTGATTTAATATTGATCTCATCCTAAATTTAAAAACAAAATATATTTTTTTTTAATTCATGTTTACACGATTGTGTGGTGAGGATAGATTTCCATAATAACATATTCTAACTTAAATGACATTGAAGAGTTAAAGCAAATTTTTGCCACTTGATGCCCTTCCTGACATACAGATTTAGTAAATAATTCAAATAAATGTCAATTAATACCTTTGAGTCACCAATTATCCCTGACAATATACTTTTAATTGTTGGTTGTAAATTTTTAACCTGTAAATGTTTAAGTTAAATTAGATAATAAAAAAATTTACATGTTTCTCCAGCAATATATTTTGCTTAAATAAACATATAATAAATATTCCCAATATTGCAAAAACAGTAAAAAATGTATTCGTGGCTAACACCCTGTTTATATACAAATATGGATGTATATATATATTTAATAACATAATTTTACCTCTTTACGCCATGTCATTTTAGAGGGATCATCGCCATAGTCATATCTAAAATTGCACAATATGAATAATATTTTTTTGCGATAATATAATACATAACAAAAAATCTCATTAAAATATTTACCGCAATTCTGTACTAACACCTATATCCTTAATTGCATAAAGTGCAAGGTATGTTGATTGATTGAGAGAAACATAACGCTTTATCATTGAATTTGCATATTTAGGTGGAGAATCATCAATAAATCTTTAATATATTATTAGTGTTTATAAACATCAAAAAGTAGATTATAATTTTACAAATGTTAAATAATAAATGTTAAATATAAAAAAACTTTAGGCAAGCAAAATTTCGAGCATGTTCAATGCATTTTTTAGAAACTTTAAAAGTTAATTGGGTTATAAAAACCTTATCAAAAAAAAAAAAAAAAAAAAAAAACTAATAGTATAAAGATTATTTGAAAAAAAAAAAAAAAAAAACTGATTTTAAAAGATTTCTTTTTGATTTTATAAATGAGTCAAATAGTTTGTTAAGAACAACCTAATTGTCTAATATGAGCCTGTCTGAAAAGCTAATTGTCTAAAATGAAACTTGTCTAATCTGAGCCATTTTTTCAGCACATTAATTACTAAATAATTTTATACTAATCACAAAATTATACAAATAAGAAATAATAAAATACCTTCCAAACTGACTTGATATTATGTTAAAACTTGCTTAACATCTGAAGAATTTTCTAACGCTTATGTAATTTTTAATATTTTTAAATTTTCTACCTTTTAATTCGTTATATAGATTGTAAAGAGCTTCATGATAAGATCATGTGATCTTCTGGAAGTCCTACCAGTAATATATTCAATGTAAATTTACCTTGTTCATATTTTTCTGGAAAAAAAAAACTTGTTAACTTGAACATGTTGAATCAATACTGTGGAAGAAACAATAATTCACTTGATTAAAATCCAAACATTAACTATATTTACAGAAAACTTTACTTTTTTTAAAACTTTTTATCACTACACTAGAGTATAAAGAACAAGTTTGGAGGTTTATTACTTGTACCCCTAATAAAGTGAACCACTATAACTCATTGTACCACTTTGAACATAAATATGAATGTACTCTAAAATAATTTTCTATACTCCATTGTGGTCTAATATTTTAAAGATTTGGTAGTATTTGTACTATGTACAAAAACTCTATTGCTTAATACTTAAACTTATTTAAATTTTATCAAAACTTTCCATTGGATCCTGTTATATTAAAGTATATAAAGGACCCTATATCACGTGTACTGTAAATTTCTTCCCTTTCACAAGCTTCAGCTTCTGATATATGTTCACCTAATTTATCAAAAAAAAAAAAAACAATTAAAAACAATAACTTATTAGTCATTTTATACATTTGAAATCAAACTTTGTTGCAATTTTTATGATAATAAGTTGATTATGATAACTTAAGAGATCAATAGACAGTTGTTATAGGTTAGGGAAATAACAATAACTCTAAAATTTCAGTTAATAGTCATTAAAAAGCAGCAAAAAAATCTGAAACTACTGTGTTTTTAGAACTTATGCACAGTTTTTAAACAAACATTGTTTATTTATGAATTAGAATGCTTTTAAGTATAGTTTATAATATTATTAAATAATATTTTATAATATTATCCAAAAAAATTAAGTTAAACTAATTTATAATAATATATAAGTAACAATAATTACTTTTGTTTGTAAATGTTGTAACAATATGACTATAAAATATTATCGAGGTATTCATTATAACAATTATTGGTAATGTAATGAAAAAATATAAAGAACACACCTGCATATTCAAGAAGAAAGTCTCCTTTTATAAATTTTTTTAAAGCAAATACCCCAAAACCTAAAATTTAATTTTTTATTCATTCAAAACTTATAATTTAAGCCTATTAACTTATAACTTAAGCCTATCAAGTAGCCTTGTAAAAACAATAGTCAAAATATATAGTTTATTTTATATAATATATTAGTCTATTAGTATTTAGAATATTATAAAATATATAGGTATAAATTTAACATATAGGTCAATGTAGACTATTAAAGCTATAATAGTCTATATTAGACTTCGTAGTTACTATAAATATAGGTACGGGACATAAAAATTTTAAATTATTTATATAGTAGATTGTTATATATCGTTAGAAAGGCCTTTAAAAAAATTATAAAAATTGGACAATTTTATAAAAAGTTATACTTGATTAAGTGACGAATTACCGATATATGGATTTCTTGATAAAACTGAAGCAAAAAATTTTTTTTTTTTTACTAAAACTATCATAACTTAGTCAATTCTCATCAAAATCCTTATATCTTGGTATCAAAAAATAGGTGCAAGAATAACCTACAAAATTATAACAACCTTGAACAATTAGGCATAGTGTGGGGGGCGGCGGGCGCACAGATACGCCATCTTTGCAGTCAATAAAAAGAGATTTTAATTCATAAAAAAGTGTTTCTTCAGGAAACCGGTCTATTTCATATGCAAAAAGTTGTTACAATTTCATTACACCTCACTGCCAAATATCAGAGGTTCATTAAAAATATGGGGTGGACGTTGGGAGTTAAATTTTAACACACCCTAATTTTAAAAAACGATCATTCTCATAATTATTTTTATCTTTATTTCAAAATATACATCTAATAGATCATAAAATGAATAATTTTTTTTTACATTTTTAAAACAAAAAGTAGTGGTGTACACAAAGACACGAGAAAAGAGCGTATTCCTCCCCCTCTGACCTAAAAAAAATAGTTTTAAATGAGGTTTCCTAAAATAAAAATTGCTATTGTTTTTAATGATTTATTTTAATATAAAATTATTTTTACCATATTACAGTAGTAGTATTACAAGATGCATCAGAGTATTTATTTTTGAAGAAGTGAGTAGCGGTTACCCCCTCTGACCTATACAAATTAAAAACAATTAAAATGGCGTTTTCTAAAATAAAAACTGCTATTATTTTATATGTTTTATTTTAATATAAGATTATTTTTACCTTATTTGAGTAGTAGTATTACAAGATGCATCAGTCTTCATATTTGCTGAGGGAGATGTCAAATCCCCCCTCCAGCCTAAATTTTTTTTTATACATTTATATATGATTCCAAACAACAGTTATGTGTTTTGGCTTTTAGTTAATGATTAAGATAAGTTTCCAGTAATAAAAATATATAATAATCATTGTTAACAATAGACATGATGAGAACGTAAGCCAAAAACCGTCTTTCAAAAAAATTGCAAGTTCCACTACTTGCTGTACATATCCTTTGCAAGTTCCACCACTCTCTGTAGATTTATGTTGCAAGTTCCACTAGAAACATAAATCTACAGCTTTATGAAAGTGGAACTTGCAACATAAATTTACAACGAGTGGTGGAACTTGCAAAATATATGCACAGCAAGTAGTGGAACTTGCAATTTTTTTGAAAGACATTCAAAATATATGTACTTGCTGTACATATATTTTGAAAGTTCCACTACTCACTGTATGTTTATGTTGCAAGTTCCACTACTTGCTGTACATATATTTTGCAAATTCCACAACTCGCTGTACATTTATTTTGCAAGTTTCACTACTCGCTGTACATATATTTTGCAAGTTCCTTTACCGACTGTAAATTTATATCACAAGTTCCACTATTAGCAGTACACTTACAACGAAAATTACACTACTCGAATAATCTTTATTTTGCAAGTTCTAATTCTTGCTATATTAATTTTGCAAGTTCCACAATAAGATAGAATAAGAAATTACGAAAACGCTAACTCGACTGATACAACATGAGCAACCAATTGGAATTTTCTCATGCTATGGTCAACAGCTTCTGTATAAGTTTCATCTAGAGCCCAATAAGAAATTGTGTAAAAGATGCCTTTCGTTGTCTTTTTAAGTTCTTCAACTCTGCCATTATACAAGATTGCCATTGTTGAAGCTGTATCATACCATTCGTGGGAGAGATTCCTCCCAACAATTCTTTCACAAATAACATCATTTAAATCATCAATCTGCTTATATTAATATAATTTGCAGTTCTTCTAAAATTAAATATATATATATATATATATATATATATATATATATATATATATATATATATATATATATATATATATATATATATATATATATATATATATATATATATATATATATATATATATATATATATAATATATATATATATATATATAATATATATATATATATATATATATATATATATATATATATATATATACTCCTAGATCTACTTTACGGTGACATGCGCAAAAATTCTACTATAAGGCGACACAGCAGTTTTTACCACAAAAAAAAATTTTTTTCGCGCTATAACGACTTCACTCATTTTATAATTACTCCTTTGAGCATATTCTATTGAAATTAAAATAATTGCACTTCCCCACAGTGATATACAAAAAAAAGTGTTACCTTAACGTTTATTCTTTTGTTGATTTTACTCAGTTGCGTCACCTTAGGGTAAAACATCATTGTGAAAACTTATCAACTATGAAGGAAAGCCTTAACAGATGTTAGCGAAATTAATAAATTTAAGTTCATAAGACTTGGTTCTTATATAAAATAGTAAAAAAACTAAGTTTTGTGTTTCGCTAAAGTAAAAAATAAGAGTTTTAGTGAAAAAAAAAACTATATTTTTTATTCGCGCATTTTTATTCGCACACTTCGTGCTAAAAGTTTAGAAAATAGTAAAATATAGTCGACTAACTCCTAAATTATGTTTTAATCATAAAAATAATTATATATATACATATAAAAACACTTAAAATCTTTCAAATGTACAAACTGTCACCTTATGGCATTTGCAGGCAAATTTGCCGTTTTATACAATAAACACTCTCAAAACTGCCTTTTCCATATCTCCCCAAAAAAATTTTAGTTCGATCCAAAATTTATTTTTTATATTATTTAAATAGATACCTAAAGCTAGGTAAAGTTTAACTTATAATGCGCAAACAAAAAGCCATTAAACTTGAATCAGAAACGTTAAGGTGACCACAAATAGTTGCCTTAACACAACTGTCGCCTTATAGTGCGTTTTTTTAGCACGTTTTGTCGCCATTGAGTATATCTAGTGATATATATATATATATATATATATATATATATATATATATATATATATATATATATATATATATATATATATATATATATATATATATATATATATATATATATATGTATATATACATATATATATATATATATATAAAATAAAGTCAATATTTCCATAACATATGCAAAATTTGTTAGGAAACATGATACCAAGATACATTAAAAAGCTATAAAGATATAACACAATAAAATTCAACTAACCAACTATTTTTTCCAATCGATCAGAGTGATGAAAGTAAACAACAATTTAAAAATTGAATAATAAAAAATAAAAACATCATTAGTAAATGGAAAAAAAGAAGTAAATAAATAAATGAAAACAAAAGACAATTAACTTAATTTAGCTATGCAAGCATCGTCTGCCAAATTTTTATATATATATATATCTAAATATATATATATATATCTAAATATATATATATATCTAAATATTTATATATATATATATATATATATATATATATATATATATATATATATATATATATATATACATTTACATATATATATATATATATATATATATATATATATATATATATATATATATATATATATATATATATATATATATATATATATATATATATATACACATATATATACATATACACATATATATATACATATATATACATAATATATATACATATATATTATATATGTATAAATAATATACATACATATATTGTATATTATATAGTATATATCATATATGCTATATAATATATATGAATATAAATAATTATTTATACATATATAATATTTAAATATATAAAATATATACATATACATATATATACATATAAATTTATATATTTATATATATATATATATATATATATATATATATATATATATATATATATATATATACATATATACATATTTATATACATATGTATATATATATATATATATATATATATATATATATATATATATATATATATATATATATATATATATATATATATATATATATATATATATATATATATATATATATAATAATAATAATAATATTTCCATATATCGAAAATTCGCTACTAAAAACGTCATAACTTTTTTTTAAATAGTTCTTTGTTAAGTTGTTATGTTAAGTTTTTATGACACCATCTTTAAGTTGTAGTTATATCGGCACCGTATTTTTATGTGCCGTATATTCTTTATGTTTTTTTAGTTTCAGCCACGAGGCTATGTTTTTATGTATATTTTAAGAATATTTATAAACACTTATATCGACTTTTATTTCCTCCATCATGAGTGAACACAAAATATTAACAGGTTATGGGCCCAGCAACCAGTGGCAAAATCTTATTTTCGATGGAGATAGTAGGAAATTCGAAATATGGGAAACGAAATTCCTTGGATATATGAAGTTAAAAAATTTAAAAGATTTAATTAGAAATGGCGAAATAGACGAAGACGAAAATGAAATAGCGTTTGCTGAACTTATACAATTTCTGGATGAAAGATCCATAGCTTTAATTATTATTATTATTATTATTATTATATATTTCGTCAATAAACAATCATTTTACAATGTTTTTTGTAAAAATTAAAAATTAAATATTTATATTCTGACAGGAGCAAGCAGAAGACAATGTGTCTTATCACCCTGCTCCTAAGTTCGTGAAAATATCAATAAAGTTTTACGTATTAACTTCTTAAAATATACGTTGTATAAGTTTTATAAATATTGCAAGTTTTGTACATAATACAACACATCACAGTTCTCAAAATATACATTGGCCACAAGCATATATACGTGTTAATTATAAGAGACGCTTAAGATAAAGGTAGGGAAGCCTTTAAAATTCTAAAAGATCATTACGCTAGTACAAGTAAACCTCGTATTATTACCTTATATAACCAATTAACAAGTTTAAAAAAATTTACCAACGAGTCTATAACAGATTATGTTATTAGAGCAGAGAAATCAGCCACTTCATTAAATACAGCTGGCGAAAGTATTAGCGATTCATTACTTATTGCTATGGTACTTAAAGGATTACCTGACGAATATAGAGCTTTTGTAGCTATAATTAACCAATCTGAAACAAGTAATAATTTCCAAAAATTTAAGCAGGCTTTACGAAGTTTTGAGGAAACAGAATACACAAGAACAACTCATATTGAACATTCAGATACCAAAATAATGAAATTCAAAACTAGTGGGGGTAATATAAAGAAAGTTATGACTTGTTACACTTGTGGAACTATTGGTCACAAATCTTCTGAATGTCAAGCAAAAACTAAACCAAAGATATGGTGTAATTACTGTAGATCAAATACCCACAAAGACAGTTCTTGCAGAAAACAAATAAAAGATAAAGCTAAAGCTGTTAATAATATACAAAAACACACGTATGCATTTAAAATAAACGAAGAACAATATACGGAAACGCAAAATAAAACATTTCTGGTAGACTGTGGGGCAACTACCCATATTGTAAATACTGATGAATACTTCACTTATATTGATGAATATTTTAAACCAGAAGAACACTTTATAGAGTTAGCTGATGGCACCAGGACAAACAATATAGCTAAAAAGAGAGGAACAGTTAAAACCCTTTTACGTACAAAAAATGATGAACTAGTAACTGTCACTCTTGAAAACACTTTATATATCCCAACCTACCCACAATGCATTTTTTCTGTTCAAGCAGCTACGGCTATAGGCGCCAGAATCAACTTCCATAAATATAGTGCTGAACTTATATCTAAAGAGGGAGCTGTGTTTCCTATCCGACAATATGGTCATTTGTATTATTTTTACAAAAACTCAATAAATGAAACACGAACTGAAAGTTTAAAAATGTGGCACAAAATAATGGGACATTGCAATACCAATGATATTATAAAATTAGAAGATGTAGCTCAAGGAATGAAAATCAACAATATTGCTAAATTTGATTGTGAAACATGTATTCTATCTAAAAATGTCAACACTTGTAACCAACAACCTGACACAAGGGCAAC